GAAATAAAAATAAATACACAGAACAAATACTAATAATAAAAATAAAAAGAGAATTAAATTTAGTGAATGTGCGAGCATGTTTTCGACACCGCCATCTTTGGCGATTTTTTATTTTTTTTGGGCATAGCTAAATGCCCTGAAAATTTATAGATGTGTATTTCACATAATACAAAACCCACTAAAAAAGTTTCAAAAAATAATAAAAGTTTTTAGACACCAGCCTAAAGTGAAAACAAAAAGTAAAAAGTGAAAAAAAACGTGGGCGAGCACGTTTTCACACCGCCATCTTTGGCGATTTTTAATTTTTATTTGGCTAAGCCAAATGACTTGAAAACTGATAAGCATGTACCTCACGTCATAGAGAAGTCGTCAAAAACAATTCAGGAAAAAAAAAAAAAAATTAGGCCCCGAAATAATTTTTGGAGGGGGCCTAACGCCGTCGGGTTTGGGCCCCGTACGGGACCCTTAACGCTCGAACGTACGGAGGTCCACCCGGGGGCCTCCGTACGTACGGGCTGGTAACCCTGACTTCAATAACGTTATCGTGCTCAATAAGTTTCATTGGATATCCCAATTTATTAATTTAGTTGACAATAATCAAAACCTTTTAACTATGCACGTTACTTCATTGCAATAGGATATAAGTATATAAAACAATGATATCTTACATTATATTTTCGATTTTATGGTAATATATGTCATTCCATGATTTTTTATTATTATATTTTTATTGTTGTTGTAAGAGTGTACTCACACTCGTAACTTTCAAGATGTTTAAACCACCATTACAATGAGATTTTGTACATCGAATGAGTCAACTTCTTTTATTATTGCATAACGATTTTCGATTTCATTGTCATATATGTCATTATAGGATCTTACATGATACGACATTACATATATATATTTATCAATCATGCCTTCGATAATACTATATATTTAATGAGCAAAAAAAAAATCACATACACGATACTTGCAAAATGTTTATTAGATCATTATAGAAACGAGAAAAAAGGTTGTTCACCCTGGTGATTTTTTATATGAGTTTGATATGTTTGATGAGTATGAGTAGTTAAACCTGATAGTTATCCATATGGTGAATTCCCCCAGTAGCCATGTAATATCGGAGAATGATTAATAGTTTTTATCTTATTTTATCTTTATCGATCATGGTATAAAAATAATCTTTATCGTGATGAGTTGTCAAATTATTTGAGTTTTTATAAGTTTTTTTGTACTATTGTAAAGGTGCACCTATATTATAAATTTTGAAAACGTCTCTGACCACATCTACTATAATATATTGTTTATTTAGATAGTACAACTTAATATCGGTGAGATGGTCTTCCACATGTGATTAATCATATGTAATTATTTGGTCCCTTCTTCTCTCAGTTTGCATGATATGTTACTTGCTGTAATTTTCATTCATACAACGTACACACATTATGTTAAAGCTTCATTAAAAAGTTTGGTCAATTTAAATTAGTTCGAAAATTTGAATATAACACGTATGTACTTGAATGAGTTTTTTTTTACTTAAAATATATTATACTTTATTTGATAATATGTTTTGAAATAAAAAATTAATTAAAAAAAAACGAAACAATTTATCACAATCCCTCGTTTGTTGTTCTCTTCTCCCTTTCTGCCTTTTATTAGAAAATTATGTTTAATTATATAGATAGATAGATAAATAGATATATATAGATATCGTCAAACAAAGTTGCCCGATAAACCGCAGTAAGGGAAAGAAAAACACAACAAACGAGGTATTGTGACAAACTGTTCGTCGGAGTTTCACCGACTCATCAGGAGGCTGAACCCTATCGTCAAACAAAGTTACCCGGTAAACCGTGTGCATATATATATCCATGGTTGTCAGGTCGAACGTTCGAGGTTTCCCGGGTTGACTCCCGAACGTTTGATCGTTTGAGGTCTCATTCTGGGTTCGAACCTGAAGGAGTTCACCCCCCCCCAAAAAAAAAAATTCAGGATCTATTTTTTTTTTCCATGAGTTTTTCATGAGATGCGCTACATGCATATAAATTTTCAAGGTATTTTTCTACGCCAACAAAAAATGAAAAATTTCCAAAGATGGCCGCGTTAAAACGTGCTCGGCTACTCCCATTTTTGTTTTTCATTTTTCACTTTCTGTTTTGATTTTATTTTGGTACCTTGTATATTTTATTATTTTTTAAAATTTTTTAATGAGCTTTATATTATATAAAATACACATCTGTAAATTTTATGAGCATTTGGCTATGCCAAGAAAAAGTGAAAAATTACCAAAGATGGCGGTGTCAAAAATGTGCTCGCCCACTCACTAATTTTAATTAACTTTCTATTTATTTTTCCTCCTATTATTATTTTCGTTTTATATTATTTTTATTTCATATTTAGTAAGGAATTCATATGTAACGATGAGATAAATGTTGTTGGTTTTTGTTTTCTACATAACATATATATTTTTTAAACTTTCTTGATTTTTTTTTTTGATTTATTTATTTATTTTTTTAAGGTCCGCGTTCGGCCTGAATGGCCGAACACATGCCCAAGGGGGACCGAAAGTTCCGCAGATTAGGGTTCAAGAGTTCAGTCGAACCCTACATATATATATATATCAAAAATAAGTATTTGGTTTGTTACATCGAGTGAATGAATATGACAATAGATGAGGGACTGTGATAATTTTTATGAAAATATCATTGACTCATAAAAAAAGCGAACCCAATGAGATATATACAATATTTTTTTTCTTCTTAAGTTGCGTCTTGCAAAACTTAGTACTTGTATTTCAAATGCAACGCATGATACATTATATATTATTGCAGTGCACTCTCTACCTTAAATTAGTGTAACGAAAGTTTGTCATAATTGGAATAAGTTTGTAGTCGATTAAGTCGATCAATTGAAAGATCAACTGTTGTGTGGACGATGATAGTCAATTTGATTGATCGATCGAAAGATCGAGTGCCTTTTGGGGGAATAGTCGATAGTAAGATGATCCAAATCAAACGCATTGTTAAACCACTGCTGCTCCTGCCATCGTAAAGTAGGGGGACCGGTAGCAGAAATCTATGAGGGCTACCGATAGCGCAGTGGGGGAAGTGGCGGAGTGGCAAAATTGGAATATGCATCGAATTGCCCCCGTGATTTATTTCGGGGTTGAAATAATTAAAAAAAAAAAAAAAAAAAAAATTCATAAAAAGATCAGAACGAAATTTGCATACCCTCAAAGTTTCAAAAATTTTAGAATATTGTATTGAACATTAAAAATTGTTGAAGTCGGGGTACTTTTCTCGTTGGGCAACACGTGATAGAGCGACAAAAATGAAATCTGAGACGAATTGGCGCGATATTTTTTTCACGGTCTTAAATATTTTTTTGAATTTTTTAAATATTTTTCATGAAAATTTCACGACCAAGTCTACAGGCATGTGAATTTGCAGAGTTGTCGAGTCATCCTTCTGAGTGCAAAAAAACGCGAAAGCCAGGGTACGTTTTTCATTGGCCCACACGTTGTGGAGTGACAAAAATAAAAATTGAGAGGAAACGGCGTGACATTTATTTCACCTTTTTTTTTTTTTTTTTTTCATAGAAATATCACAATCTAATCTACAAGATCCTAGGCTACCAGTCGGGCCGCCTGGGTCCCATGTGGCCAGCCCATGCAAGGACCAGGGAAGGTCCCCCCCCCCAAAAAAAAAAAACAAATATAAAAAATCCGAACAAAAACTATGTTATGCAGAAAAATAAAATGAATAACTTTTGCATTAGGGTCACATCGAAATTCTTCACCAAATTTAAAATTAAAAATAATAATAAAAAAAATATATATATATTTTTATTTTTTTGGCCTGGCTGGGCAAGTGACCCCCGGCCACTTTGGTAGCCTAGAAAGGATCTCAAATTTTCAGATTTTTTCCGTAATTATTATGAGCTCAAAAAATCGCTAAAGTTGATAATTGAAAATCCCTGACTGGACCCGGATGCATCTGCCAGTCGCCGCCCCCCCTAAGAACCTGGTTCGTAAGGCCAGGAAAGCTGAATTTAGGCCGGTGAGGGTAGTGGTGGTTTAAGTAGCTGTCGAGTCTGTTGGGTTCTTATCTGCTCGTTTATTTCCTTTTTGGTTAATGTACTTATGAATAAGCAGAGTTCGTCCGACTGTGACTGACTTAATTAGTGAACTTGATCCGGGTCGCATACAAAGCAAACTTATCCTAGGGCTTTAAGAACGAAAGTATGTCGGCTGAATGTTGTGATCACTGGAACAAAATAGGCGAATCTTATCTGTGTAGGACTTTTTCTTTGGGGGGAGGTCGAGGGGGGATGGGATAACCTAACGGACAAACGGACTGATGTAGATAGGGTGCGATCACGCCCCCTAACTCCTTCCCTCCCGTTGTTCCCACTGACCGAGTTTGCGACCCTGCCACACCTGGCGAGTGTGGGCTAGAGGCTGGCCTGGCCTGAAATTTCCTGATCCTTTGCTGGTCGATCTTCGTCTGTCCATGCTTGCCGTTGATAAGCAAAGGGACTGATGCCACCCAGAATGGAAGGGGCCTGGGTTTTGTGAAAAAAGAGGGCACGTTTTCAGTTCTAAATCCACTTCAGGCGTCCCTCAAATACAATACATCCCCACCCAACCCTCCAGCTGGGCTGGATACAGTCACAATTTTCCTGGAAAAGGTGACTGAAACACATTTAAAACTGAAAACCTTGACTGTGGCCTAGTTTTCCCAACTATGTAGATCAGAGCAGTCAGGCGGACAGTGATGGCTCTGTAGGTAGTAACAGTCATGGGAAAGGAGGTCATTATCGAGGCAGAGAGTGAGGCAGAGCAGTTAGGCCGAAGGAGGTCCTTACCGAGCTAGAGTTCACGCAGAGAGCAGCAGTCAGGCCAAAGGAGGTCATTACCGAGCCAGAGACAGTTCCCGCTGCAGGCTGCCTGATGCCGGCGCTACGGCGCTGGGGGTGGGCTTGTCGAAAGTGACGGCCGAAAAGTGGAGCGACTTGTTCTTAGGTTTGACGCCGCATTTCCGCTACCGCGTGGGGTCTAGCGTTTTGTCCTATCTTGCGTGCGTTGCCGCCAGCTTGCGAAGGCCCCCCTACCACTTCCCACATTCTCATCGTTCGCTACCTTGACTGGACTCGACTGGCCCGGACTGGACTAGGCCCGACTGGCGCAGTTGATGCATGGAATTTGCGTGGCGCAACCCCTACAGCGCAGCCCTGCTGCCCACCGACCCTCTCCCCAACCCACCCACCCAAGCGAAACCGTGGAGCAGCTCATCGAGAAGTGGGAGCGAAACCGACGAGGGAGCGCATCTGAGTGCCACGTCCTCACTCTCCGTCCCTCCTTGGTGGTTTGCTTGATGTTTGAGGACGGTGGATGTTCTTGGATATGGAGTTTGGCTTCGGCGGTGAACACGGCCTTCCCGCTCTTGAATGTCGTCCATACGTTATCTTGTCGTCTCTGTGAATAGCCCGATGTGCTGATACTCGGTTTCTAATGCTCCTCCAAAGCGAAACAGCGTTCTCTTCTTTGGCGTTGCGAAGAGCAGCGAAGATCGTGGAATTGTCGCTATTGCTGCTGGGCTTGGGTATTGATTCCAATCAGAGTTTTGGTTGTGCGCTAAGCGAGCGTCTCCCAATCACAGTTTACTGCCCTGCTTCCTGAAGGCGGCGAGGAACGAAACGTTTGGGGGTTGGGACAGAGGAAAGATTTGCAGCTTTCGCCAAGGAACGGAACGTTTAGGGGTTGGAAGGGGAAGGGGGAAAGGTTTGGAGCCTGTGGAGGAGTGGTGGACCTGTGAACGAACGGCGATGTGGAGGAAACCCTGCGCTCTCGGTTTTCGGTTTTGAGTTTTCGGTACAGCGAAGAGATGGTACGTTTCCATATCATTTTCTCGATGTGCACGTGCGTGCTCCCTTATTCATCTCTCCCTTTCGCATCATCTTTCCTCCTCCTTCTGTAACTGCCCCCTCCGAAGCCCTTTCCTCCGAAGCCCTTTCCGCCGAAGCCCTTTCCGCCGAAGCTCTCCCCTCTGTCTCGGCTAGCAACAATACCACTAATCCTGTTATCTCCGTTCGCGCGCATCCCGAATAACGGACGTATTTACTTGGCTCGCAGTTTCGCGCGCTTTTTGCGAGTCCCTTTCCCACTAGCTCTCCGCCCTTTTTTTATTCTATGGCTTCCACCTTCTGTGTTATCTCATGATGTAGATGCTCTCCTTTCTCTGGCGACTTGTCGTCGCCTGAAGTAATTCATAAGACGAGAAAACGGGAGAGTAGCTCGGATGGGCAAGTCATCTTTATCGCCGTCCTGATCATATCATCCCTTCAGCAGCATAGACGAACGGAGTGTCTTCTGGCTGCGTTGTGCGTCGTGCTTTGCCCATGGGGAATTCGCAGTGGCGCTTGCGCCTACTTGCCTCTTTCTCGTGTTTCTCCACTTCCTTTTATCAGTTTCTGGTCCAACGTCCCGTCTGGCGCACGTGGTACAAGGGCCTCCCTTCTTATCTATCTCATGTCGGGCTCCCCTTCTCTTCATATACGCGTACCGCCGATGCAGCTTGAGTTCGTCTTCGAAAAAATGCCCAAGTGTTGGTAGTCTTGTTTCGTCTCTCGTTTCGCCCCGACCCTCGAACCGCCGTTCTCTCCCCCGCTTATCCCCTCTGTGACCTCTTGCGCTTGTTTTGACGTATGCCATGCTGAGCATTTCATTTCATCGTGCCCAAGTTAAGCTTACCGCAGTTGGCGCGTTTGCCCCTTTTTTCGCTGCTCGCGTCGTGCTTCTCTCGCTTTCCCGTCTAGTTGTTTCCCGTTTTCTCTTGTACCTTTTCTGCACGCCTGGAGGTCATATCGTGTCGTGCGTATCTCTTGCCTTTTCCGTTGTGGTCGACACTTCCCTGTGGTCTTTTTCGCACGCCTGTACCACGTCGTACCACGTCGTGGGTGGGCGCACCCTTTATATCCTGCGGTTGTGTCCCACCAAACTTCCACCCGCGCTCTACGCACCCTAGACGTTTTTCTCACGCGGCTTTTCCGTGTTCTGTTCTCGTCTTATATATGACCTAGAGCCTTTGCCGTTCCTACGTCGCCGACTTATGATCGTTCCGTTCGGCGCAATGACCCTCGTCCGTCGCCCTGATTCTTCGTGTTTTCTCCGTCTCCAGTAGTCCAGTCCATTTCCTACCTTCACTGCTTTCAGCCGCCCGGCATCGTCCGTCCTCGCCCTTTTCGTTTCAGTCCCTTCTTCTTTTTGGTAATTACACTTTTGTTTAATCAAGGCCCCATTTCTCATATACCCTCGTTTGCACGAGTTTTGTTCTGGCAACGTAGAGATTGCTTCTTACCTTGCATGACAATTTCTGCTCTGTCCAGACAATAAAACCCTCTCTTGTAGCGCCCAATTTCATTTTCCCCTTCGCTGATCCCTCGTTCTCCTTGTTTTTACTGCGGACGGCGCCTCTCACGCCTGTGAACTCCTTTCCTTCCTGCCATCCCTCTCTCTCCCTTTGTTGTCAACATACACGCGCTCACGCAATGCGGTTTAGTTTTTTCCATTTCTTTCGTTCGTTGCTGCAGCAGGTCATCGTCATTGCTCTCGGCTTCCATGTCTTTCTTCTCCTGAAGTTTCCTTGCCCATTTTCTAGCACAGTCCTTTGCCCGGCCTAGTTTTCTCGGGTAGGCGACTCAGTAATTTGCGCAATGTTCCACGTTCTTGCGGGAGCGCGGGACCTCCTCCTCCCGTCTTCCCCCCCCCGGGCCCACGCCCCCCGCTGTCGGCCTATGGTATTGCAGTGCACTGCGCGGATCATCCGCTCTTCTCCTTGTTACTTTTTTAGTCTCGTGTTCCTCGTTTTCTTGTTGTTCACGTCGAACTGACCGCGGTCTCTCGTCTCCGTGTTGTTCTCCCCCTCCACTGTTCGTTTTCACTGGTCGTCGGGTAGCTTTTTTTTCTTGCAGTTTACCGGCGGCTCATCCTCCCTTTACGCACCGTCCGAAGCTGTAGTCCTTAACGGGTCCACTTTTTCGTCATTTTCCTGTGGCTCTTTTGATGTGCTGTTCCCGGTCTCTCAATTTGTTCCCATATTTATCAGACTCTGTTTCTCCATATCTTGCTGACTCTGTACCGATGCTCGTCGTTGGTGTTTCCGGGCTTTATTCTTCGGGATAGTGTGTCTACGACGCGTCTAAGATTTTCTATCTATGCCGACGCACTTGATGTTACCTGTCTTTACATCAGGTGATTCGCCGCGTGTGTAGAGGTTACGAGGGCTCTCCCCGTCGGTTTCTGCAATGGGATTGCCATCTTCTCGCTGCATCTGCTTCCCTCTTACCTTAGTCTAAATAAAACATACGCATGCTCCCTAGCTTTTTTACGTATCCATATCGTTGTCAGGAAACTCTTTCCCATAGTCTATAACCCATGTGCATGCTTTGCCAACCTTTTTACGCGTCCATACCGTCGTCAGGAAACCCTTCACCTTATCCTAATCCATATGCACGACTCCATCTTGTGCGTTGGTAAACTTTACTGCTGCGGACGGAACGTCGTGGTCCGTTGCTCTGCTCCCCTCCTTACTCCCTTCTGTGTCAAATGTTGTGTGAAATGTGTCTGAACTCACCTTCGCGTCTACAATTTTCGACGTTTGTATGCTTTTTCTTTATCTTCGTTAGTTGTCAGTTACTTTGGTTTTCGGATGGATAGTGCTTGCTGCTGACTTGTCGCATTGCAGAGATCGCCGAATGATTCACCATCAGGGGTGGATGTGGGACTGGACAAATGTTGAACGAGCAGAGCCGGTTACCCCTGCAGGGGCTTATTCTTTCTCTCTGGATTATAGTCTGGGTCGGTCCTTGCTGCGGACGAGGGTTTCGATGTGTGCCGCTCTCTGTGTTCGGTCTCGGGATTGCCTTGTGAACCTCGAAAAAAGAAACACGCTTTTTGGAGGATTGCCTGTGGCGGACCTCGCCGTCTTAGACGGGGGTGGAGATTAAGGAGTGCTCTGACATGGGATCAGCGACTTCCTCTCGCTAAACTTCGCGCTGATTGTAATCGCTTTGGATCTCGTATAAGGATCGGTGAATGGATTTTGTTCGAGGGAGTTCGGTGGAATTTCAGGTGAACGGGGCACAGATGTATTTCAATTAACTCTTCAAGTGGGTGTGAAGATGGAAACCTGGCGGCAGGGTCGACGAGATGATGGGATTGTGTATTTGGTTGGGTCCTGTTGAGGAAGGTCAATCGAGATGGATATACCGGCGCTTACCGTGTCTCGTTCTCTGTGAAAGGTGAAACGTTGGGTAATGTGTCAGGGTAATACCTCTGTGCTTTTGCCGGTTGGCGAGAGGTTATGTGAATGTGGGAGCGTGTGTGCGCGTGTTTCTGTCTGTCGACGAGAGCTTATGTAAATGTGTGAGTTGTGTGCGCGCCTGTTTGTCTGAGGATGTGTCTATGTTTGTGTGTGTGTGTGTGTGTGTGTGAGAGAGAGAGAGAGAGAGAGAGAGAGAGAGAGAGAGAGAGAGAGAATGAGTATGGATTGATGGGAAGCGTGGGATGTATGCGATGCAGGTATGACCGAACGGACGTCAAGGAATCGCCAAGGACGGGTCATTGGCGATTTTGTTTGGAGCGAAGCTCCTTGTGAGATTTAGGGCGAGGATATGTACAAAGAGAGTGGTCTTGTTCAGGCAGGTGAAGGCCGAGGAGGTGGTGGAGGTACGCGGCAAGATAATTTTGGGTCGAGTGCAAGGGAGCCGGGATTGGGGAATGATATTGTGAAGAAGCGAGGAGAGGACGGAGTGGATAAGTCTGCGCCTTCGACGTCGAAAGGAAATGGTGCACGTGACAAGGAGCCACGCATTTCCAATCCATCCACATCCTCGGTTCGCAGAAGTAGTGGTGCGGCTCCGGCGAATGAACTTAGGCCACCATCATACGACAAGACCAAGTATCCTGAAGACGGTAAGTACCACGACTACCACGTGTATATTACCTCTCGCCGCCTCCATTACCCAGAGCAATATGCCATTGCGAATTGAGTCCTGTACCTCGTATGGTCGAGCTGTCCTTGCCATCCCAAAGATGAAAGGGCGCTCACCTCCCTCTCTTCGTTTCACCTCCCTCTCTTCGTTTGACTGTGCCCTGCTTCCCGGTATCCTCTATGGCATGTGTCGGGGAAAGCGATCGAAACGCTTCGACAAAATCACTTTTTAGGGCGCACTCATATTCCAACGCACTTATGGTAAGATACATTTGTAAGATATTCCTCTTAGCCATATTGTGAGCAGATCTATGAACAGAATGTTGATCCTTTGGTGATGGTGATGTGGCTGTGTAGGTGGTGATGGTGATGTGGCTGTGTAGGTGTGCTTGCCATCTTGCCTTCGAACTGAAGCCGTCCTGGTGGAAAGTCTTTCACCATCTCTGAGTTTTCCGAGTTGCTATCTCTTAGGTTCTCCGAGTTATTCACACTTCCATCGTTTTTAAAACCCTTGGCTCAGGTCGGCCTGTGGAGTGTGGTATCCGTTTCCTGTGCAATTGATAGCTGGTTTTCGTGTGTTTTAGCTGGTTTTCGTGTGCTTCGAGGCAATTTGTATTTTTATCACGTTGGAATTCGAGCATTGTCGTGTGCTCGTGGTGACGAGGCGATGCCCATTTCGGTTTGGGACTTGAGGGGCAGCGTCGCATGGAGTATTTGCCCACTGCTCCAGGCGTTGAATTGTTGATATTCGATTCCCTCTTGTTGTGTCGGTGTCTCCAACGACTTCCTGCTTTTTTTTTGAGCGTTTTCATGTCAGTGGCAGTGTCAAATAATGGAATACACGAGGTGCTGTTCACCGCCTGACTTGTGTTTTCCGGGGAACGAGTATCGTTTGGTGGATTGTCGGGTTGTTGCAGGTGAGGATTCGGACACTGACACCGAGGAGTCTGACGTAAGTGGCTCGGATGAGGAGGACACGTCATGGATTTCATGGTTTTGCGGACTGAAGGGGAACGAGTTCTTCTGCGAGGTAGATGATGAGTACATTCAGGACGATTTCAACCTCAGTGGACTCAGCAGCCAGGTTCCCTATTACGATTATGCGCTCGATCTCATTCTGGATGTCGAGTCCCCGAACGGTAAAGTCAACGACCTCTCCCTTCCCCTCTTGCGACGGCTCTCGATCAACGCTTGTACGTCTAGATGCACGTGTTGTCTGCCACGGAATCTTGATGTGGGCTCATCTTTCTCTTTTTTCCTCTTTGCAACGATTCTCGATCAGAGGTTTTACGTCTAGAGTCGTGTGCTGTCTGCTGCCTTATCGTGATGTTGGCTCATCGCCTTTTTTTGGTCTGCTTTTGATGCTGTTTTTCTCTCCAGATTTCCCACAGATAAAGAACGCCGGATGTTGATTGGTTTTGGTGGTCGTTTATCTATATTCGGCTTTGGCTCCAGTTGAATCTGGCCTTCCCTGCTCCTCTCTCCTCCCCCCAATCGATCCTTCTCGCTTTTCGTCGGCTGCCTTTGCACTACCCATGTCTGCTTCCTACTTAAATCTGGCTGCCTGTGAAAAACTTCGTGACTGAATCGATTTTCCCCCAGCCAATAGAATGTGGTTACTCGGATGCTGCGCTCGGGTTCCGTATGTAGTGAGGGGTAAATCATTGTGAGAGGCTACAAATGGGGACTCCGTCTTTTCCTTGTCTTTTTTCCCATTCTTGCGCGCCATTTTACCTGAGGCGGGGTTTGTAGGTATGCTATGATGAGAGCTTGCAATTGCATCGGTAGGACAGCGGGTGGGTTAGGCGATATACTGCCTGTACGTGCGGTATTCTTTCGCGCCATTTTACCTGAGGCGGGGTTTGTAGGTATGCTATGATGAGACTTGAGATTGCATCGGTAGGACAGCGGGTGGGTTAGGCGATATACTGCCTGCACGTGCGGTATGGGAAACGCTATTTTCATTAAGTTACGCGCTCAGAGACCTGTGTCGACGTTTGTGCGGAGTTGGTCTATTATTCACGCTGGCTTGTGTCGCTTTTGACGGGCGATTCCAGCCCTGCTGCCCTGCTGCTGTGCTTGTGCCGGAGCGCCTGGCTGTACGTGTTTCTACTGTATCCTTCACTGCTTCGCGGAATTCATTGTACAATGTCGTCTACTCTCCAGAGAAAGATTGTAAACCTTTTTTCCAAACACGATTTCATAGTATTAACACCAGGAAAAGCGAGGCTACACGATTTCATAGGACTAAGACCAGGAAAATGAAGGTCGCACGATTTCTTAGTACTAACACTGGGAGAAGGGAGGTTCTACAGCGGTGGACGGACTGCTGTTTTTTTTTTCATAACCTCCTTTTCATCGTAATGGCACCGCGCTATAGCTTTTCGCTCTGCTGTTAGTTTTCTTCCAATGTTCTTTCCCACGGCAATGGTGCCGCGCGATGGCTATTTGCTTTGTTGTGTGCCGTAGAGTAAAAAATTCACTCCCTGTCGACTTCTCTCGATGGCTGGTGACGGAAGCGTCAGATTTGTGGAAAATGGAACATGTCTTTTCTTCGCCTGTGGGCTTTGGGTTCCTTGAGAGAACTTGACTGCACCTTGCTCTTGTGTATGTACGGCTTTTCCCGGTGAAATAGATCTCTGGGTTCGGCACGTGTGATCTTCTTCAGCACGCCTCTTCTGCCCGTCTCCGCCAACTTTCGTAATGGCTTTTGTGATTATATTCTCCTCTCGTGATGCCTGCGCGAGCATTGTCCGCGTCTGTGTGCACGGCCTCGGTCCTTTTCCCTCTCCGCCTTCGCTGAATCCCTTGGCACATCTTTTCCAACAACTCTGGCCAATAGAATAGAATAAAACATCTGAAACAAAGCACAGATGATGTACCAGTACTATTCGTTCCTTCTTGGAGGCAACTGTCCAGCACCGTCATCAAGCACGTATCAAAGCCATCATACCCAGTAATCGTTGGGCAATCGAAACTTGTTGGGAAATTTGTTCGAGGAACAAACAAATAATCTCTCCAGCACAGTCATCAAGCACATGTCAAAGCCATCATACCCAGTATCGTCGGACAATGCGAAGCTTGTTATCAAGAGATGAAATGAAAGAAAGTAATCTGTTCCAGCTGAACCGTCAAGAATGATCAGCATGGTTAGAGCGGTTGATCATTTTGTTTGTGTGCTTGCATGTCTGTGTGTGTGTGTTAGAGAGAGAGAGAGAGAGAGGTCTGGGCACAGTGCTAATGACAATCTCGTTGCTTTTACTTTTCTTTTCTGAAATGGAATGTTCGTGTCTGCAGAATCTCGTTGCCATTTTTTTTCTGATATGTGTGTGTGTGAGAGAAAGAGAGAGAGAGAGAGAGAGAGAGAGAGAGAGAGAGAGAGAGGTCTGGACGTGGGAACACAGCGCTAATGGAAATCTCGTTTTTTTGGTTCATGAAATGGAATGTTAATGTCTGCAGATGATATGCTGACGGACGAACAGCATGAGATGGTGGAGTCTGCTGCTGAGATGCTGTATGGTCTAATCCATGTCAGATATATCCTGACCAGCCGGGGTATGAGTGCCATGGTACGTGCACTACTTTTGAAACTCTTCCACTGCTCAGTTGTCCTTATTCAGAGTTTTCCAGCTAATGTCATTTTGGCTTGCGCAGGCACTGCGTTATATTGTCTCGGATCCCGTACCTCTGGAAATGAGCCTTGGCGCTAGACTGAAACCACACGGTTGAGCAGCATCGGCTGCGAACCGTCCCCGCACTGAGTTTTTTGTTGGCATCTGCTTTGGTAATCGGGCTTTGCAAAAAGCACGATTGGATTTGACGGCCAGTGCAATCTTATGCCCCGTCTTCCGCTCTGGTAGTTGTCTTTCCCTTCCCTCCGTGAATTACTCCCTCACTTCCCACATCCAAACTTGGTCGTGGTATGGTTCGAGCGCTGGGGGAAAAGAGAACACAGCCTCTCCCGTAGGACTGTCTGCAGACCATTGCAATGAAGAGCTCTCGACTGTCTCGTGAAAAACCGAAGATTTATGATTATAATTTGTTAAGTGTTCGTATTTTGTTTGTTTCATCATTTGTTTCATTTCTTAGTGCCTGCCAACTTTCTCTATCCCAGCTGCAATTTTTGGTTTTGGGGTTAGTTTTTCTTCGAGCTAATGGAGGTTCTCTTTGAGTATGCAAAGGTGTGTGCTTCTGAGTTCTTTCTGTGCACAAGTTTATATCAACCCGCGGTCTGTGTGGTTAGTGTCAGCCCGAAAGTGAAAAGAAAGACGTGCGTATCGTGTTCTTGTTTCTGTTGCACCAGTTTTGATAGACGTTTTGTTGTTTCTCGCAGTTGGACAAGTTCAAGAATGTCGACTTCGGGAGGTGTCCACGAGTTTTCTGCTCTGGACAGCCTTGCCTGCCGATGGGCCAGTCTGACATCCCGCGGCAGAGCACGGTGAAGATCTACTGTCCAAAGTGTGAAGATATTTTCTACCCAAGGTCGAAGTACCAAGGCAGTATCCTCATCATATTCGCTACGCGGGTTGTGATGCGTGGTTATTGATTATGCGGGTTAGTCTTCTTTCTTTTCTGGGTGCACAGTGCTCACTCTTTTCTGTTGCTGAGTGTGTGGAGGATGTCTTAAAATGTGTGTTGTCTGTTCTAATGCACACTCCCCTGGGTTGCATGAACATGGGGCCCAATTTGATCCCATTTGATCAATGCGCAGATGAACATGGGGCCCAATTTGATCAATGCGCAAATGCTCTGGGTCTCTCCCTAACTGTGGGCATTGAAAATTCTATGCCTTGCCATGGGTTGTCATATTTCATTTGGCGTTTCCTTTCCAGTATCATGTGCTGGCTGATAGACTGTACAATGGTAGCTCCGAAGTTGGGTTTACAGTTTTGGGATTCGTCTTTTGCATGTAAGGTGCACAAGCTCATGGGGAAGACACTTCTTCTCGTTCTCCTCCTATCCTTTTCCTCCCTGTCTTTCTTTGCCTCCGCTTCCTCGTTTGTCTTGATACGTAGGGTGTGTACTGATTTGGGGTCCTCTACGGCTCGTCCATCTTTTTGTGAGACTGATCTTGCTCCCCCCGTTATTAAACCATTCTAGCCTGAATCGGACTCCCCCCCTTATTACACCATTCTAGCCTGAATCGGACTAAGTACTTCATGATCTGTAAAAGATTTAAAGACGTGAGTTGCGTTGTCTAGAACACGGTCTGGTCCGACATTGAGTATTTGATTGGAAGCTAGATCGTGTTGATTGTTCGAGACATCACTCAGTGCCGGAACAGAACGGTTTTAGGCCATTGCTTTGCCCAGTGACTTCGAACTAAAAACCTGCAGAAGAGGTATTATCGTCAGATTGACCGGCCTCAGGTTTTTTGGAGTTATTTTACTCAATCTGACACCTTTCAGGATTCGAGCTCGTGTCTGTCTGTGACAGCTCGTAGGTCCGCCATTCAGGCTTGGTAGTTAATCAGTAACTACTGAGTAATTACCGAACCCTGAACGGTGGACCAATGACCTGCTCATAGACAGACGTGATGGTATCAGATGAGTGAAAAAACTCCGGAAGACCTGGGGCTGGCCAGTCTGATGCAGATAACTCAAGGTTGATGCCCTTTCTGAGGATTGAAAAAATTGCTAGCTCGCAGGTAATTACCGCTCCCCATTGGTATTATTGTGGTGTTGGGACGAAGGTATCATCGGTGGCATTCAGTTGGGGATTTTGGACAGCATGGCAATTTTGCGCATGCTCAGATAAAATATCGTTAGCCTCTGGGTTGTGCTGCACTTTTCTTTTGGTCTCTGGGTGGTGTGCTTGTTTCTGTGCGTGCTTTTTGTTTTCATTTGCTGCAGGCCGTGTGTGTATTGTTGGGGGGACCCACAACAACCGTCCAGAGAAATGTTGTGATGGCCTCGAAAAAATGCTGCCCCATGTGTGCATGAAGAAGGGAGAGAGAGAGAGAGAGAGAGAGAGAGAGAGAGAGAGCTCTGTTTGGACCTGTTCTTGCATACTGTGCGTGATTTCAAATTGGATGATGGGGTGGTGATGGTGATGGTCTGCGGGTCTGTATCCACAGAATTACTTTATGGTTCTGTGCTTTCCTTGACTTGAGAAATCCAATGCAGATATCGATGGGGCGTACTTTGGAACAACGTTTCCACACTTGTTTATGATGACCTATCCGTACATCAAGCCTCCCAAACCTGCCCAGAGTTACGTTCCACGGATATTTGGTTTCAAACTGCACAAGAGTGCAAAGTAGGCAGAGTTTAGGTGTCATTGTGTGGGATAAGTTCTGTGATGTATCAGTGGAGTGCTCTACTGAGTGAGAAACGGGGAGGAGGAAGAACAGGCACAGAAGCAGTGGGGAGCATGGAGATAAGGGAAGAGAAGAGGTCGTGTGCATGGGGAGTTGGAGAGAGAGAGGGGGGGGAGAGAGAGAGAGAGAGGGTTTCTTTGCCTATGAGGATTGCACTGCTATGTGAAGTCCCTACCCAATCTGCTGTGAATATCACACCAGCGTTACATGAGATTTTAGGTTGTTGTGTAAGGTTGTTGAGATGGTGAGAGTGATTATTGCTTACCTTTTGGCAGAAGTCGCGATGCGGATGGAGTTTAGTCTCTCAGGGCTCGGAGGTATAATTGTAATTCACCGGAGGGGGCTGGGTGTTCTTGGGTTCAGGGAGGGGGGACTTCGCATACCGAGGTGAGCATTACCCTCGGATGAAAGTCCTTGGAAGCTTGTCCTTTGGGGGAAAGAAAGTCCTGGCCTTGCATTATTCCGTCCAGGTGGAGATCCGTACTTTCCTCTATCTGCCCTCTATGCTGTGCAGGTCGAGTTTTGTTTGGAGTTATTTGACTGATTTCCAGTGACCGGCAAGCCCTCCTTAGTCGTGCACTATGGATGGACAGTTCGAATGGCAGCTGAGTGCTTTAATACCTCCTTCCATTTACACATAGGCCTAGCGATGGCTGTGTGATATGACAGGGGTTTTGGCCTTTTTGCCAAATTCGGGTACAGTATACTGACCTGTTCCTCTGTTGGATGTCTCCCCTGCTTGCCTGGAGCGTGAGCATGGGCGGAAGTTTGGTAGTTTTGTGTGCCGAGCCAGGTCTTTATTGGTTTTCTAGTTTTCTTTTTGCAACGTGGTCTCAATTCTTGCCGATCTTCCTTTCTCCTGTACTATCTTTCCCCATCCTTTCCCCCTCTTCTTTGTCCCTCTCCACGCCGCCCCCCTCCTCCTCCCCTCTTCCCCCCCCTTCTCCCCCTCCCCCCCCTCTTGCCTCCCTGCCCCACCTTGAGGTGATCATGAACGAGCAGTTGATCTGTGGGCTTTTGTCCAAGAGATGGTGTCGTTTGGTTGCGGTAAAGTTTATGAGGTGTGAAGTGGTGGATCAGATTGGTGAATGTGAGGATGTTTGGTAGCGATTTGTGATTTGGTTCAGGAGCTCTATTCATTTGTAAAGTCTTGGTAAGTGATTTCCGCATAGTACATGTATGCAAAGAGAGTAAAAGAGATCTGGACTTTGATGAAAGGAGCTGAAAGTAATGCTGTAATTCGGTAACTGTCGACTTGATGGGTGCGACGCTGGTGCACAAGAGCGGATGGCATGTGAGCATTCACAAGCATTACAGGCAGCCCATTTATCCCGTTGTACTCCGGGAATATTCTACATAGAAATAGCGAATTCTGTTTTGCCCACAGTCTTCTTTTGCTTCTGCTCTGTGTATTTCCTGCTTTTATGTGTCAAGTTTGTGTCACAGATCTCTGTGTTCCATGTGCTAGCAGTAAAGAGGTACTTGCCAGCTGTTGCAATACAGGCCAAGCCTGCATTCCTGACATATGGTGTGTCCCGTCTTCCGGAAGAGTGTATTCTGGGTCGTTGGGGGAGGTTTGTCGTGTACCCCTCGCAATTGGTGAGCAATGGCATTCGTGTGGATATGCTGTCGTTAGGGTTTGAATGACACTTCTCACACGGGTCTTTTCAAGGTTGGAAATACCTGCTGGTCGGTTTGGATTAAGCTGGGTTCTGAAGTGCCTACTGCGGGGCCTAGCTGCTGAAGCTTGGAGTAGGGTAGAGGCTTGAAGGCAGTCGTTGTTGCGGGGGCTTGTTGTGTTTTGGGTTTCTTTTATTCTCTATAATCCGGGGAGGTCGGGGTTGGGTGCCATGGTTGGCTGGATTTTCTTATTTTCCATTGGATCATAAAGGTATGTGTGCTGCAACGTCATGCACACAAATCTATTGGAGTGCATTAATTGTGACTTTTGGCTATGCTGGTTCAGCACTGGATCTTTACTGGTCTAATATGTCCATTTGACGGTCTCCCTATGTTCCATTATTATGTTCCCGGCAGCTGCTAAACGGTTAAGAGTTAAGTGTCCTGTTTTGAATGGGGAACCTTGGTGGATTGGTTTAGTATATTCAGTAGAATTGGACTTACAGGGCAAGGCAGGGACGCATCCTTGGTTGTCAGTCGTGGAAGGTAACCTAGGTGCTTTACATGGTTGGTGCCACAGCTCTGCGGTGCGTAAGAGTTGGATGGATGGGAGATGCATGGTTCTTTCTTCATGAGCGGAAGGAGAATGCCGGTTTCCATTAGAGTCCGTAATGGTTGGAGAAAGACACCCAGTAGTAGGGGGAGGGTGATGTATGGTGGACGGACGGGAGATGCATGGTTCTTTCGTCATGAGCGGAAGGAGAATGCCGGTMTCCATTAGAGTCCGTAATGGTTGGAGAAAGACACCCAGTAGTAGGGGGAGGGTGATGTATGGTGGGCAAGGGCGAATGGGTAGCGGAAATATGTAATGGATTCCCCTTTTCAGCTTTTTTGACCATCTGGTAGATTGATCCTGGAGGTCTGGGTGGTTGGTTGTGTACTTCATGCTGTTCTTGTAATACACTCGCTCGTTTTACTGTTGCTGTTTTTCTAGAAAACCTGATTTTGCTGTATGAGTCTGCTGACGTGAGTGAGATTGCCTTTAGCAATTACATGAAGCGAAGCATTGAGAAGCGATTTTTTGCTGTATGAATCTGCCAAACCTTAATACTTGACTTTTGGCTATTCCATTTGACTTTTGAACTATTGAATAATGGAATGACTGGTACGATGTGGCTTCTAGTGTGCGCGAGGTTTTAAGTCCGAGGGCGTCCTTTATACATCAGCGTGGTTAGGTGAGATAATGGTCTGTTGAAGGGTGTGTTATGTGGAAGTGGCCATCGCTTCTTGGAACAGGCCGTCTCCTTATGGCTCTGCTCCTGTGCGAGGTCTTGTGGTTGGTGCAGGATTCAGATTCAGGTAGACCAATTTTTTTCTTCTTCTTCTTCTATGGTCGTACCCTACTGATATCTCTGAAGAAATGTCCGTACAAGAATACTCCCCTTTTATTCTACTTTGTAGAGATATTCTGTCTAGAGTGTGTTTGTGTTTGTGTTTGCTAGTGGAATTGTTTTGCATAAGGTTGCTTACCCTTTGTTTTCTTTTAGCTGTGATGAAGATGTAGACGGTCGGGGCTCTACCAACTGACCGTGTGGATGGAGGGTGGGCACACTTTCCATGATAGGGTTTACTCCAAGGACGAGCAGTCCGTTGTTCCATGTGGCACAAAGCCGCACAAGTGATTGATGCACTTTATATTGCAGGATGGACGAATGAGGGGAGAGGCTTGTCCTTTATCTGTGCAGGGTGTTGTAATATGCTAATCTGATTTGTAAGGATGTGTTTTATGCGTGATCCTTGACATATTTGGAATTCATGTGCGATCACCAGTTCTGTCCGGCGTGTGATGTGGACACTGGGAACCTCCCTCCCTCCTTGTTTGTGTGTGTTTCGTATTGCAGAGCCTGGGGCTCTCAAAAAAGTCGCGAATGGTGCTCTGCTGGTGTGAGAGGCGGGAGATCTTGCTGTTTGTGGAAGATTGAGGCCTATTGGAGGCAGCAGCCATAGACGCATCCATGGTTCGATGGAGAGTCTTCTTCCGGAAGGGTGAGTGGAATTGCGAGGACGCTTGCTGACGATTATGTTGATTGTTGGGGGAAGATATAATTTCGAAGATAATTTTAGGAAGATAGTTTTGGGAAGATAATCTTGAAAATAATTTTGGGAAGATTATCTTGAAGATAATGTTGAAGTCGATTTTGATGCTCTTCAGTGATCACTGATGTATGTAGGAGATGTGTTAGCTGAGAAATCCTGACTGTCGCATTTGTAAACCTGGACGCAACTGCTATGTGAGAGATGTCATCGGAAAGGACACTGCCAGGTGGGAATGCTTTTGCAACCGTGGAATCTGAAGCTCCCTCGCAATTGCAGCCAATCAACGCAGTGCTAGTGCCCTCCGTAGGGGCAGGTTAAGTAGGTTTGTTGAAGAGGGAAGTTTTATGGTTGTGCTGTGCCCCAGCGTGTTTTTGCAGGTAAGGATTATTCTTGCACGCCATGCTATGGGGAAGTTTTGCAGCGTAGGATTATTCTTGGAGATGATGAACAGCTTCAGCCTGGAAGTTTTTCCTATGCTGTGAGATATACGAGTTTGGTTGCGTTCACACCGACGGTATGATCTGGGATTAGGTCAGTGATTGCGGGAGTAGTAAACTGCTGTCTGTGGCAATTGCATGAAGTGTTCTTACCGTCTTATGGTGGACATGGGCCACTCACGCTATGCTGTGCTCGTGCCGGAGCGCTGCGACTTCTGTGTGAATGTTTGGTGAGGCAGGAATTACGATGTAAACATGGAGGAGGTGAATGCTCGTGCCATTTTGTGGCCTGCGCTAATGGCCACTCCCTGCTGTATGTAATGGATTTGAATTTGCTAGGTTGAGGCCCTGTTTGGTACGCTTTGATGAAATTTCGTGGACGGTGTCCTGTCTTAGGAGGCAAATGCTTTACACAGCGGCTTGTTGGATGGATAGCTTAGTATGCGTCACACACATGTTAGCACAGCCCGACTGCGGTAAATCAAACCGACCGTGAGTCAAACCACGACCACCACCTGATTGATGATCAGCCACTGTACGGTGACATTTTGAATTTATGCTGGCTGATGGTGTGTGGATCACCTTGAAATTTTGCGGCACCCATGCCCGCTCTGAACACTGATTGTGGAGTTAGTGGAGCTCCATGAAATTTGTTAGGATGTGGTTTGCATGTTCGCCTCACCTCTGGCGTTTGTTCCATGGGTGGGAACTCCAGATACGAGTCTACTGTGGACTGCTTTTCCATGCTAGAAGGTGCTTTTTTTTGTTATTATTAGGATTATTAGGATACAGCGGTTATGACTGGGTGTTATATTCGGGTGGAGGCTGGTACGGTTGGTGGCTATAGTGCAGAGTCCGTTTGTTGGTTATTGTATACCCGTCTTCACCTGAATAGAATGCCCAGTCATTATTAGGATACAGCGGTTATGACTGGGTGTTATATTCGGGTGGAGGAGGGTTCTGGTTGTATTTGCCTCGTGGGGACGAGACACAGTGAGGCATGAATCGCAGTCTGACGTTGTCTGTCTGGGGTTGTTGAATTGTCATAATTGAAGAGGAAGCAGCAGGACTCGTGCGCACCGTGAGCATTTATGTGGTATCTGGCTCCTCCTGTACCGTGGAAGCCCTGTGAGTGTTTGCCCCTGCAACAGAAGTATGTGGAAGCGCGGATAGGCTTAGGACGTAGGTGTGCAGCACCTTTGCTGTGAGTATTTGTCCCTGAGAGAAAAGCGGGTTGGTGTACAACCTCGTTGGTGCGACGTGCAGCCCTCCCTTCTTTTTGTTTGTTGGATTTTCCTTTGGTCTTTTGGATCCTGGGTATACGTTCACCAGTGCTTGCTCCTTGGGTGGTTTGGCGACTGGGTCAACCAGCCAGTGGTGTGCAATTAAAAAGCTAGGCTGGTATCGTTGGCCGCTGAATGAATACCTTGGGCGACCATGAGGGTCAGTTTATTACTGGATCTTGCTGAGGGCAGCCCAAAGGCATTCAAAGTGTCCAACCAAAAGGTGGTTGGAACCAGCATGGGTCGGAGTTAATCTTAAATATGACACAATAGAATAAATAATATATATATATATATTCAGCCTCCTGATGAGTCGGTGAAACTCCGACGAAACAGTTTGTCACAGCCCCTCGTTTGTTGTCCTCTTCTCTCTCTCTGCCTACGGTTTTACCGGGCAGTTCTGTTTGTGACGATATATACAATCGAATAGAATCTAAAATATATATTTCTATCCCTAGAATAATGATATTGCATTGCATATTTACTTTTGAATAAAGTGAAATATAGAGAATTGATATAGATAAATATATAAATATAACTAGAATATGAATTCAATTTAAGAAAATAATCAAATCCGCAGGTTGCGGACAAAAAGGATCACTGCGAAGATCCGGCGGCGATCGGAGAGCAGCCTTCAAGACGCGCCTTCGGCGCTCGTCGGCTCGCCAGAGTCATTTTAGAAGGATTCACTATGTTCGCTATGCGGAGCTGTTTTAATGGGAGAAGGGCTGACTATACAAGAAGGCAGTTCGGTAAAAGCTACTGGAAAAATTGCACAAATCCCTGTAGAAACATATCCTGTCTTTGCACAACAAGCATATAAAAATCCTCGTGAGGCTACTGGAAGAATTGTTTGTGCTGATTGCCATTTAGCAAAAAAACCTGTTGATATTGAAGTACCACAAGCTGTACTTCCTAATACTGTTTTTGAGGCAGTTGTAACAAAGTCTGCTCAACTTCGATATCCCCAAAGGTCGAACCAAAAGCTTGTTCGAACCAACATGTGCTTGCAACTGGAGAGCTCATTATGTGTTTGCCTCTGTTTTGTCCTTCCTCTGTGTGTGTGTGTGTGTGTGTGTGTGTGTGTGTGTGTGTGTGAGAGAGAGAGAGAGAGAGAGAGAGATTTTGTTACAGGCAACAACATAGTCTGAGTTGTCCTCCTATTATAGCATGCACCGAATGTCGGGATCTTGCCGATTTGCTCACTTGCCTTCTCCCCATTCTGACTTTATGCTTGTGGATCGACTCCTCTCTCCTCTTCTCCTTGCTACCTGCGCTTCCCGTGACAGTAGAGTGAATGGTATTGAATACTTGTGGGAAGGCGCTTGGACAAAACATGATGTTAGTCTTTGTGGTCAGCGAAATGGTCCAGTTCTCTGAATGGTATCTCGAGTTCAGGTGGTGTGTTTAAAAATGGCAGCTGAATTCAGACTGGCACAAGCTTTGGGGGCTGAAATCTTGGAGAGTTGGAGTTATATTTTTCTCGTGGAGTTGCATTTATTGAAGATAACACCCGACTGGTAGTCCTTGGGAATCCAGTTGTTTTTCTTGTGAAGCTTCTCAGGAGAACATGGTTACGTGTATGGCCTTTCTGTGGCCTGGTAAGGTGGAGCGGTGCGGCTAGTGTTGGGACCGTATTGGCTGATTTGGACTGTAGAGTACGTTCAATGTTTGTGAAACTGGTCCTCCGAGGATCTATAGCACATCTTGTCAGGGGTTTGAATAGCACTCCGCAAAGTATGGTGTAAAACGTTCATCCACCGAGGGTCTTGCTAGCTTTGATTGAGATTGTCTCCCACCTACACCGCTGAGCTCCCGGTGCACAGACTGCTTGCAATGGGTTGGCGAGACCTGTTACTAGTCAATGGTGCTCTTCCCGGGACAAGATGGACATGCATCGCAGGCATGTAACCGGTTTTGCCAGGTTGTGTTTGTGAAACACATCCTGGAGATTAGGTTTGGCCTTTGGATGGGGCTTTCCCTGTGGCGTCGAGGAGGATACGTGCAACACCCTCGTGAGCGGCGTGGCTGAACAGGGATGAAACAGATCTTGCAATTTAGTGAGCTGGTGTGTAGATGCATAGAGATCTGCATGCACCTTGGTTGTTCCTGCAACCTGCATAAGAAAAACGACTTCACGTGTTGCATGTCCGAACTCGCATGCTGACCTGTGTTAGAGCTTGTCAGTATGTTATGGACAGCTGTTTGACAACATGCAATTGGATGCAAGTTCCTTGGAGCCACATCCGGACTTCAGTTAGCGCTTGTTGCACCTCGGTTTTTCCTGTATCAGTGCGAGAAACATCACTTCGCATGTCACACGTCCGATGTCGCATGCTGACTTGTGTTAGAGGTTGTTCGAATATGTTTTGGACAGCTCTTTGATAGCACGCTACTGGATTGAAGTTGCCCGGAGGCGAATTCGGACTCCAGTTAGCGCTATATGTTATGGACAGCTCTTTGATTGCACGTAAGTGCTCCTGTTGTACAGCTCTGGAGTGTTCTGAAACTGGGGAGCGCATCGATTGGTAAAAATGTTTCCTTGATTCATTGTAGAGTGTAGAACTGTGATGTCATTGTAGAGTGGAGGTGTTTGACGTGATTGCACAGAGGGTGGATATCATACCACCAGATGGAGTGGCACTAAAAAATGATGCCTCTGTGCACAGAGCCAAAATGTTCCTTCAGTACAGAGCGACTGGGGTTGGACTGTGCCATTTTGTGTTTGCACAGACAGTGGAGGTCATACCACTAATAAGCACATGCCCTTCTGATGGAGTGGGGCTGTAAAAACGCTCCCTCTGCGCAGAGCCACTGGGGTTGGACTGTGCGAAGATGTTCCCCCGGTGCACAAAGCCATTGGATCCGTAGGAACTAAGGTTTCGCATTGGTGAATCTCCCAATGCGCGCACCGTTTCCTCCTATTCCCTGGGATGACCGACTAGATTACCATGAAAAATGCTAATGGGGAATGCCTAATATTGATGTTATACCTGTAGTATGAATGCATAATTGCAATCGCTAACTGTCGGTGAACGTCACCTGCATTACTGCCATCAGTATTTCGTAGTGGTTGAATATGAGAACCAGCCAAACTGATGGTCTTGTATGATTCGTCATTTGCGTGAGTTTTGTGGAGTTCGAGTCTCTCGTAGCAGAAACTTTTTTTTTTTTTTGTATCAGAAACTTACCCAGCTGGGGGCTTGCAATTTTTTGACCAAGAGAAGATGCGTGTTGCCGGCTATTTTCGAGATTGGTAGTTTTGACTCTCCAGACACGACATATGAGCTTGGCCAGCAGAGACAGTTACGGCGTGGACGAGTCTTTTCACCATATTAGGCATCTATGGTTTGAAGTTCGTGCTCAGCATTGACGCAACCCTGTGGAGTTTCATGCTGCATTCGAAAGCTGAAGCAGTGGAACGCCTGCTCCTTCCCCACAGTAGCCTCTGCCCAAGCCCTGGATGGGATGAACACTTGTTGAAGTAGAACACTCTTGTGCCCAGCTGGAAATAGCGCTGAGCCCTTTTATTACTAAAACAGAAAGGAAGGACCTTGCGTAGCGCTGCTGTGGAAAGGCCAATTCGAACAGCTTAGATAATTATGATCAGGTACCAATGCATTCATTCTTGAAAGAAGTGCACGGTTACGTCCCTGCGAATAAATTAATTGTCATTTAATGATGTAAGGCACAAAGTGGTGGACGCAGGATTTGAACCGAGGTAGGAATAAACTCTGAAGAGATGTTCAGTGTGTTGCCTTGAGCCCCTTGGCCACTCCCCAAAAGGGTGTTCGGCACCGTGAACATGTGACCTAGGGGTGAGGTCCATATCTGAGGGCAAGGTGATGTGAAGGTTTATTGCTGATCAGATTCAATCGATCCAGTGGGATTTTAACATACCTCGGTTCAAATCCTGCGGCGACTCTGAAGAGATGTTCAGTGTGTTGCCTTGAGCCCCTTGGCCACTCCCCAAAAGGGCTTCGGCACCATAAACATGTGTCCCAGGGGCGAGGTCCATATCCGAGGGCAAGGTGATGTGAAGGTTTATTGCTGATCAGATTCAATCGATCCAGTGGGATTTGAACATGTGTTTGTGTAAGACATGATTTGTCCATTATAATTAGGTGGGATTGAGTTTCAGATGAACTCTGCATGTAATGCATGATTCGTCCATGAGGTGCTATCAAGCATGCTCAGGCCGGACATAGCTGGCTTCTTCGAGCAGCGACCTTAAACCAGCAGTACACCCGGAGGCTGTTGTGCCGAACCTGTGCACACCCTGTGCGTTGAAATTTGCCGAAGCTCACGTGCCGCATGTTTCTTTTTGTTTTGGATAGATCGGTTGGCCTGAGCCCCAAAAGGTCTTGAACTTTTTGCTGGTGGGGACGAGTAGCACGCTCAGGGCAGACGGTTGTTCTTCGAGCAGCCACCTTAAACCACCAGTACACCACGGGTCTGTTTACCGTTGTGCCCCCTGTGCCCAGAAATTTGCTGAAGCTCCGGTGGTGCATTTTTCCTTTTGTTTTGGCTCACGTGGTTGTCCCCAGCCCCCAGAAGTCCTAAACGTTTTGCTGGTGAGGGCGAGTCTAATTTTTCTCGAGGCTGGGCTGTGTACTGGTGGTTTAAAGACGAGTGCTGGTGGGCTGCCCAGGGCAGTACGGTGGGCGTGCCTTGGGGCTTATGCGTTCTGTTCGAGAGCTGTTTTCGAGGCTTATTCTTTCTAGTTGAAATCTTTTTTGAAATTGTTTTACAGTGACAAGTCATTTTGTGGTCACCTTTGGTCTTTCATTATTTCTTTTTATTG